CCTGCCGTGCTGTATCAGCTGGGGGAAGCAGAGGCTGGGCTGGGGCAAGAAGTGCCCAAGGACACTTCAGCCTCTCCTCAATTAACAAAGGTCTAATCAGCTCTCACCTTTCTTGCCAGGTCGCCCGGATATCGGGTGTGACAGCGGAGATGCAGCGGCTCATGGGAGTGAGCTCTGGCATGGAGCTGCTCACCCTGCCCCACGGCCACCAGCTCCGCCTTGACCTGCTGGAACGGTACGGCATGCCACGGTGGAGGCGAGCCCACTGGGCTGCCCCACATGGCACAGCCCGGCTCTCCTGGGGTGTCTCCAGCTTGGCACAGGGGTTCTACTGCACCTCACGGGGTGGAGGAGCGCCGGCCAAGCCCTGGGAGCATCCCCAGCCTCCCCATACTGACCCCGCTCTGTGTCTTGCCCCACGCCAGGTTTCACACCATGTCCATCATGATTGCTGTGGACATCCTGGGCTGCACGGGCAGCACGGAGGAGCGGGCGGCCCTGCTCCACAAAACCATCCAGCTGGCTGCCGAGCTGAAGAGCACCATGGGAAACATGTTCAGTTTTGCGGCTGTGATGAATGCCCTGGAAATGACACAGGTACAGGGATGGTCCTTTCATCCTCATGGCCTGAGCTCAGTCCCCTCACCCAAAACACATTCCTCTCCCTGTGTCCTGCGAGCTCTGACACCCATTGGGGTGGGAGAAGGGGGAAAATGCCCAGAGTAGGAGGCGAGGGGCCACATGTGCTGGGGTGTAAGCAGAGGAGGGGAAGAGCTGTCCCCTCTGTGGAGCAGACAGCCCAGTCCTGCTGGGATCTGATTGTTTTTCGGTGGTTGGGCTTTTTGTTTTGTGCTGGGCTGTGTTCCTGGGAGGAAATGAATCTGCCCTCTGGTACAATACAAATCAGTCTCAAGGCTGTGGCAGCAGCATCTCCGGGCCACACTGCTCCCTTTGGAAGATGAAAGGAGATTAAAATTCAATTTTAAATCGAGCCCAGCTGGGAAGTCTTGCTTCCTGCCTACACAAAGGAGGTTGAACGGCTGCCCCCTCCCTGTGTCTCATCTTCAAGGACGCTGCGACGCGGGGAAGCTGCTGTCCTGGGGCACTGGGAGGGGGAGAAATCCTGAACCCAGCCTCGGTGCCAGGGATGTGCCGTCTCTGGCCACGAGTGCTGGTGGAGGCGGCTGTTTTGGGGAGCAGCAGACACTGTTGCGTGCAAGGCTGGGGGCCATAGCTCTGGGGCCAGGCTCTGGGAGCACCTTGCGAGCTCAGTGCCTGGGGGCTGTGATGCCCCCCAGCACCCTCCATCGGCCCCATCTACTTTCAGATCGCCCGGCTGGAGCAGACCTGGATGGTGCTGCGGCAGCGGCACACGGAGGGCGCAATCCTCTATGAGAAGAAGCTCAAGCCATTCCTGAAGAGCCTGAACGAAGGGAAAGGTAACAGGAGCAACTCCCCTTCTCTCGCCTGCCTGTTCCTTCACGCTTCATCTGGGCATGGCTTCACTGGAAGGGGATGTGTTTGAGAGCACTGACCCTCTCCCAGCCAAGGCCAGACGCTTCCCCTCTGGCTGCCGAACTGCCCCAGCACCCGGCAGGGCCTGTTTGGCCTCGGCTGCCCCTTCCTTCCCAAGGAAGCATTTCATAACTAAATAAAACCAGCAGCTGGGCACAAACACAACTTGGCTGAGCCAAACCCTTGTGCTCGCATGGCAGTGCGTGCCAAGCCGAGGGGACAGGGCAGCCAGTCGGGTAAGATGAAAAGCCACATCTCTCCAACACCCAGCGCTCCGGGCTCTGTAAACTTGCTCCCCATTGCAGCCCCGGGAAGCACGGACGCAGCTCGAGCAGGGACAGCAGCGTTCCCCTCCCAGCACAACCAGAAAGCCCAGCTGGGAGGAGCTGGTGTTGAAAGAGGCAATGGCCCCAGGCACAGCGATCGAAGAGCCACAGCCACTGCTGTGCTACAGCTGAGCCTTAAAGCCTCTCGTGGGAGCACGGTGGCAACCTGCCTTTGCTGGGCTGTGTGGCCACAGGAGCATTCTGCAGAGCTGGGGCAGATGGGGAGGGGGATGCAGCGGCACAGGGCTGCGCAGGGTCCTCAGGGTGCCTCTCTCCACAGAAGGGCCACCGCTGACCAACACCACCTTTCCCCACATCATGCCCCTCGTGACCCTCTTGGAGCGGGACGAGGCTCTCACGGACAGCCCCGAGCCCTGGGAGGCCACTGACAACGGCGTGGAGGGGGTCATGGCCCACCTGGAGGCGGCACGGATGGTGGCCCACCACGGCGGGCTCTACCACACCAATGCTGAAGTGAAGCTGCAGGGTAAGCGATGGGGACAGCAGAGCCCCTTTCCCTCTGCTGCATTCCGAGTATGCAGCTCCAGCCCAGCACCAGCCGGAGCATCCCACGGGCGCAGGGTCCCCATCCCACCCCGGGGAACTGACTCTCCCTCCCTGCAGGTTTCCAGGGCAGAGCAGAGCTGCTGGAGGTCTTCAGCACCGAGTTCCAGCTGCGGCTGCTCTGGGGCAGCCGTGGGGCCGAGAGCAGCCAGGCCGAGCGCTATGAGAAGTTTGACAAGGTCCTCACCGCCCTGTCCCACAAGCTGGAGCCAGCGGTGCGCTTCAGCGAGCTGTAACCACCCCGAGTGCTGGGAGACGCCCCCAGCTCCCAGCCTGCCCCCCCCAGCAGCTGCGGTGCAAGGGATGGGGCCAGGCACCTGGTACCAGGAGGAGAGATGGCCCAGAAAGGAACTGAGGCAAGGATTGGCAATTTTAGGACAGAGGAGGAAAACCAGCCACGTCCCATCTACCATCCACCTCCTCGGGACATGACAGGCTGGGGAGTCTGCCCCCCTCCCCTGAGGGATGGGGACAGTGTCTGGACAGGCCAGTGCCAGTGTCCACCATCCAGCCCCACCGAGGTCCAGGACTACACGGTGCCCTTCACCTCGCCCTTTGGTTTCGTTTCTTTTCCACCTCTGTCTTGCCCACAGCTGCTGGATCCCGCTTGTAAATTGTTTTCACGATCACTTCTCGATGTACAGACTTGTGAAGGACGGTTCTTGTTGTAAATAATTAGGCTCATTCATTTTGTCTTGTAAATACATGTACATATCTCATGGGTTTGGTTCTTACATACAATAAACTTTTACGCTGTTCCTCGAGGGGATCCCCTGTCTCGTGGGAGTCATTTGAACGAGGCGCCGGCCCCCCGGGGAGAGCAGAGCCTGGGGAAGGGCTGGTGAGGGGGACCACCATGCTGAACCCAGCCCTGCCTGGCCCCTGGACGCCAGTGGTGGCCCAGTGTGGTTGCCCCAACCCCCCCTTCCCCCTGCAAGGGGCTACCGGGATCACCAAAGCACACGCCGCGCCGCAGGACAGGCGGGAGGCGGGGCAATAAGAGCCAGGCCCCGCCCCCGCGCTCTCTGACCACGCCCCGCCCCTCGTAGCCC